TTCATTACAAGATAAAAACAGTACTATTATGTCCATATCAATATTTACTGTATCCTACAACTCACACTGCAATTGTCAGAATACACCTGCCATATATTTTGCTGTATTCAGCAGTGACGGAAAACAGCTGTATCTTAGCATGTGCCTTAATTCAACATAATTTCTTTCTGAAATTACTTGAAAATTACATTTAACAATACAAATAACAGTTGAAATAAGCAATTTTATGTGTTGTTATGAACAAAATTATCAAAGAAAATTCATAAAATCGCTGTCAAGTTTCAAACCATATTTACGCGCAGAGTAATTATTTTGGCGTACGTCATCGGGCAAAATTCAGTGTAACATCAACGTCAGGTAAACAAAGAGTAAACAACAAAACTGCTGAAGTTTTGATTTGTCTGATTTTCAATCAATGTTGCAAGAAACATAGACAAAAATAGACAAAAGCCTCTTGTGTCTTTCTTAACCTTCACCAAAATACAGTTTATATTTTAAGACACTGACCGTGTATTCTCTATATCTATACAAAATAGTAAAAATGAAATAAAATAGTCCTGCCATACTATATATTCACTGCACTTCACAAATAAATCATTTGACTGAATAGCTGTTGTAAAATGACATGGAATAAAAAAACCTAGAAATGTCTACAAGAATCAAATATGTGCAGTTTGGATTGCCACAAAATATTTGGACAATGTTCGTGATAATAATAAAAAGAAAATAGCTCCGCAAACACGGGCAATACCCCACAGCCTTATTATAAAGTTGGGTGCAGGGCTGAGATTGTGAAAAACCTCAATAGGCTGTTTAGGTCCATAGACCCAACATGCCCAGCGAAAATGGTGATCGCTTGTGATGTCGTTCTTGAGATAATGAGCAGAATGCAAATTCAAGATGGCAGCCGTAACCGCAATGTTGGATATCGGGAGACGACGAAAAACAATAGGGTTGTGTAGGTCCGTAGACCCAACATGCCCAGCGAAAATGGTGATCACCGGTGATGTCGTTCTTGAGATAATGAGCGGAATGCTTTCAGGCTGTGTGGTAAAAAACTTACACCAACTAGCAAATTTATTATAACCACTTGTAACATTATATATTGAAACAACGTTAATATATCTGTAAACAATAGTTATACAAGTCTATGTGCCTCCTTAAACTTTTAAGTATATACATATACATATATTACATGTAAACAATAGTTTACACATCTATGTACCTCCTTACACTTTTAAGTACCTATACTAAGACATATATATATATTACATGTACGTAAAACGAAAACACATATAAATGTAACATATTCATCTTTCCTGCCAACTTCCAGACTCCAGGACAAATCTGATCGTGTCCAGAATGTATCCATGAATAATATCGGAGACCATGTTGCTGCCCTGTATCAACACACTTGGTTAGTCAAACCAGCCTGCCCGCCTAGGTCAATTACATTTTATATATCAGATTGTCACTTTTCCAATTTTCAAAACTATCATATCAGGGAATCCTGACCCTAACACTTCTACAAGAAAACGTGCTTAACATCAAACCACAAAAACATGCAGCTGATGTTTTGAATCAAATTTAGAAATAAAATGTTTACATTTTATTCAGAAGTGGATAAGAATGCAAATTTGTATTTTGGAAAATATCAAAAACCAATAGAATGATATAAAATAGGAAAGAAACTGTTATCAAAGGCAATAGATATCTCAAACTACAAAATTAGATATCTCAAACCACAAAACTAGATATCTCAAACCACAAAACTAGATATCTCAAACCACAGAACTAGATATCTCAAACCACATAACTAGATATCTCAAACCACCACAGATATCTCAAACCACAAAACTAGATATCTCAAACCACAAAACTAGATATCTCAAACCACAAAACTAGATATCTCAAACTACAAAACTAAATATCTCAAACCACAAAACTAGATATCTCAAACCACAAAACTAGATATCTCAAACTACAAAACTAAATATCTCAAACTACAAAACTAAATATCTCAAACCACAAAACTAGATATCTCAAACCACAAAACTAGATATCTCAAACCACAGAATTAGATATCTCAAACCACAGAACTAGATATCTCAAACCACAAAACTAGATATCTCAAACTACAAAACTAGATATCTCAAACCACAAAACTAGATATCTCAAACAACAAAACTAAATATCTCAAATCACAGAACTAAATATCACAAACCACAAAACTAAATATCTCAATCAACAAAACTAAATATCTCAAACCACAAAACAAGATATCTCAATATCTCAAATCACAGAACTAAATATCACAAACCACAAAACTAAATATCTCAATCCACAAAACTAAATATCTCAATCAACAAAACTAAATCAATATCTCAAATCACAAACTAAATATCTCAAACCACAAAACAAGATATCTCAATATCTCAAATCACAGAACTAAATATCACAAACCACAAAACTAAATATCTCAATATCTCAAACCACAAAACTAGATATCTCAAACCACAAAACTAAATATCTCAATATCTCAAACCACAAAACTAAATATCTCAATATCTCAAACCACAAAACTAAATATCTCAATATCTCAAACCACAAAACTAAATATCACAAACCACTAAACTATTATCACAAACCACAAAATTATATATCTCTAACCACTACATGTTGTCTACTCAAAATATGAAACAATGTCATTGTCTAGTCATGATACAATACATGTCCCCTCCATAACACTGTCTAGTCATGATACAATACATGGCCCCTACCACAACACATTGTCTAGTCATGATACAATACATGTCCCCTCCATAACACTGTCTAGTCATGATACAATACATGTCCCCTACCACAACACATTGTCTCGCCATGATACAATACATGTCCCCTACCACAACACATTGTCTAGTCATGATACAATACATGTCCCCTACCACAACACACTGTCTAGTCATGAAACATGTCCCCTCCATAACACTGTCTAGTCATGATACAATACATGTCCCCTCCATAACACTGTCTAGTCATGATACAATACATGTCCCCTACCACAACACTGTCTAGTCATGATACAATACATGTCCCCACCACAACACAAAGTCTAGTCATGATGCAATACATGTCCATACCAATACACATTGCTGAGCCATGTCTCCTACAACAAAACAGAGTTAAGTCATGAAACTATACATGCTTCCTGACACAACTCATTAATTCCCCTTTATCAGTAATATAAAACCCACTGTATCTCTTAGTATTGTGACTCCTCATAGTTTTGGATTTGAGTTGTGTACTCACCTAAAACATCCTTCAAAATCTAATGTGTATAATGATATGACTTAGTCGAGTTGTGTATAAAGATTCCTTGTTCCCATTGTGATGACATGACTTAATGGGTTTATACATTGTAGTAGATTTTTCTATTAGTCTCATGAAATGCTGTGTTTGTTTTTGCAAAGCCATCTAAGTTATGTGATAAACAGAATCTTACCTTAATTTCTCCTACATATAAGATTTATGAAAAATGCCACAAATTTCAAATTTGACTGAGCCACTGAAAATTTCGAAGACTCCTTGACTATGTCTAGAGAAGGAGTCGTTTAGAGGAAATATTCACGCTCAACACATGTGCTATAAACAATAAACAGCTAGGTGAATGAATAACAAACGAAGCGAGGAAGCCCCATGGCATCTGATAACAAACACTTGGCCTTTGGGCAGGTGAACTATGTGAACCATTAAGAAACTCATCTTCAAATATTTATGAAGAGAAAATTGAATATCACTCGAGACATGGGTATGATTTAACAATAATTGAATACGTAGCGATAGATTATTGCTTATATATCTCATTATTGTAGTAGTTTCGTAAAATCAGTAGACCAAGATATTATTATTTCATTTGCATCTGATCAGGATATACCAGTATGCACAATCTGATTTTGTCAACTAATACAAAGTTTATCAATATTTACCACCTACTCATATCCCACATGTAGTTTCTAAACATATCTAGTGAGGTATCTAGTACCTAGAGTAAGTCAGTATATGTGGAATCTAGTGTCTAGGGTAATTTAGTGTGTCTTTAGTCCCTGTAATAAGGTCTTGTATCTAGAGTCCTTGTGATAAGGTCTAGTATCTAGAGTCCATCTGAGAAGGTCTAGTATCTAAATTCCATGTGAGAAGGTCTAGTGTCTAAAGTGCATTTGATAAGGTCTAGTATCTAGAGTCCATATGAGATGGTCTGGTATCTAGAGTCCATGTGAGAAGGTCTAGTATCTAGAGTCCATGTGAGAAGGTCTAGTATCTAGAGTCAGTGTGAGAAGGTCTTGAGTCCATGTGAGAAGGTCTAGTATCTAGAGTCTATGTGAGAATGTCTAATATCTACAGTTCATATGAGGAAGGTCTAGTATCTAAGAGTCTGTGTGAGAATGTCTAATATCTACAGTTCATATGAGAAGGTCTGGTATCTAGAGTCCATGTGAGAAGGTCTAGTATCTAGAGTTCATGTGAAAAGGTCTATGATCTATGGTCCATGTGAGATGGTCTATGATCTATAGTCCATGTGAGAAGGTCTAGTATCTAGAGTCCATGTGAGAAGGTATAGTATCTAGAGTTCATGTGAAAAGGTCTAGTATCCTATGTAAGGTCTAGAATCTAGAATCCACATCAGAGGGTCTAGTAACTAGAGTCCATGTGAGAAGATCTGATATCTAAAGTCAATATGAGAAGGTCAAGTAACTAGAATTAGTGTGAATAAGCTTGAGGTTTCAAGTATCCAGAGTGTGTGTGAGGAGTATCTAGCATCTAGAGTTCATGTGTGAGGGTCTAGAATCAAATGTCTGTGTCAGTGGAATCTAGTTTCTGTAGTCCCTATGAGAGACGTTTCTCACCTTAAGTCTGTCTGAGAAAGGTCTAGTATCTAGAGTCTGTGTTTAGGAGGTTTGTTTCCGAGATATTTTGATATTAGAATGTAATACTGTACTCACTAGTAGTGGTAATACAGCTGTCCTATCTTTGAAGCTACCTCTCCTATTTGCCATCGTTTCAGACCATACTTGGTATCCAGAATTTGTCTGTAATATAGATGACAGGTTACATAATACAGTTAGTGGTTGGACATCATAAAAAGTAAAATGATTCTTTTCTGTGTACATGTATTATAGTTGTAAATAATGCTCTATACATTTGTAAACAAAATACATTGTCAGATCTCATTATCAGCTTAGCCCAAAAATAGAATAAAAACTGTAAAAGGCAAAAAGTTGTGTGTTATATATATTTTAGCTGAAAATGTATTCCTACACACTTAGGTGTTGAGTATTCATACAAAACAAATCATGTTTCCAAAAGTATACTGACAATGTTTCCTCTAATGGAATTTGACTAATAGTTTATCTAATCACATGGGAAAGGGGGAGGAGGGGTATGAAAACTGCTATTGTATCAGGTTCAGAAATTAAAAAATGTTCACATTTTAAAAATACATGCACAGTGTTATTACATTTAAGATGGATAAAAGCAATTTACATATTATCACACATTAAATATTGTAAATTTTAAGATATAAATACAAACCTATGCTGCTGCTGGAATTTCCAAAGTTTTGTATACACATCAAATGTGCGCCCAAAGTAAGACTGCCATTGCTTGTGACCATACTGAGGTAGGTCTCTGTAAAACATTAAACAAAACTTGCATCTCTGTTTATCATATACATTCCTGAAAATTCTTAACGAACACGGAAAGTAAGTCAACATTACTGAGTAATATCTAGAGGATTTTCACATACTACTCTGCTATTACAATTCTGTGTGATAAATGTGGCTGAACTGAGGAGATGTTATATTTTAAGCAATTGATTAAGCCAATTTCATGACCTTGTCCTTAAGCTCCCAGGACAGACCACTATGTGTATTTCATATTATATGCTCAATGAGATGTGTAAAATGTACTTGTGTAGCATGTTTGGCTCAAACTAGCCACCACCTATCACTGTCAAGGCAGATATCTCTAAAGAGTTATGTCTATGACTTTTCATAATTCCCTATATTAGTCTAAAACGATGAAATGACGTTTAGTCTCCAGTATTATGTCTCTCTCAGCTGCTGGGCCATGGACAACCATGAAAGCTAGTCCCACCTCTTTTAGCGTAGTCAGATGAATATGCATATTTTAAAGGTGGAACGACGTTGTATGATGCATGACGTCATAGAATTATTTTGAGAATAGCACATTCTATTTACATGACACACCTTCACATGTCATGCCTATTCACTTACATATTCAAATCCATTTCAAAGTGAAACCCACCTTAATATACAGTGTATTGTTTTCAAAATGCCACAAGAAGTAAGGTGATTTTTGTTCGTTTATCTATGTTGAAATGGAGTTCATACTGGGAAACTTAATGTATTTACATACATGTAAATAATGGAATTCATACTGGGAAACTTAATGTATTTACATACATGTAAATAATGGAATTCGTACTGGGAAACTTAATGTATTTACATACATGTAAATAATGGAATTCGTACTGGGAAACTTAATGTATTTACATACATGTAAATAATGGAATTCGTACTGGGAAACTTAATGTATTTACATACATGTAAATAATGGAATTCGTACTGGGAAACTTAATGTATTTACATACATGTAAATAATGGAATTCGTACTGGGAAACTTAATGTATTTACATACATGTAAATAATGGAATTCACTGGGAAACTTAATACTGGGAAATTTAATGAAACTTAATGTATTTACATACATGTAAATAATACATGTAAATAATGGAATTCATACTGGGAAATTTAATGCATTTACATACATGTTAATATCCTCCAAGGGTGTCTACCTAGAATACCTATACAGTTACTTGCTACCAATACCTAGATTTTTTCATTGTGTGAAATTAAATGTCATTAAATGTGCACATATTGACTTATGTACATTTAATGACACATGCATGGGCTCATGATTTTCTGTTTCGTAATTTTAGATATTCCCTTCATGACCAACTATAGTTCTATGAAATTCCTATGTGTGCAGCCATAAGTCAAGGGATGGTCCATATTGGGGATGTCACAGAAGACTTCTAATTGGAATATATAACCTAGGTTTAGTCACAGGGCTCTCGATCTGCCAGATTGGGGCCAATATTCGCCCCCATTCCCAATGCAAAATAGTATCTTTTTTTCCCAATTTACACCCCAAGTTTTCCCAATTCTAAGGAAAACACCATTATTTTTCCCATTCTAAGGGCCCCAGGCCCAAGTCCCAAAATGGGGTGTGAGAGCCCTGAGTCAAGCACATCTACATGTATATTACTGTATACAGGAGGATGGGATTTCTTCTTCAGTTTAAACAATAATTTATTAAATATTCAATAACGTTATCATAACATAAGACAGAAACTTAACCATCTACCTCGTACTCTGTATCTAATAAGTCACCTATTCTGGTTCATGTTGATAGTTTGATCAAGATAAAATATAAAAACACCAATATCAATGATCAATGTGACACTATTATTAATGGATACCTATAGTTATGGTCTATAGCCTTTGTCATTCCTCAACATTAGGCATAATAGTCATGAGCCACCAGGAGTGAAATCTTATTAATATTACATAACACACCAATAATTACATAATTACAAATTAATTCTACTATTGTTAGATACATGTAGATACAAGAAGCATTCAGAAAATGTGATGATGACATAAAAGACATTAATAAATGATTAGAGTATACCAGTAAAGCTCGGTATCTGTTGATTTGAGGACAGCTTTTACAATACCTATGTGTGTCTTTTCCTATGCTACGTGGTTTACACATTCATTTCTTATCTTAAATAATTCATACATATTGTGTCACATGGCAATGAATTCTTTGACTAATGGAGAAATTGCATCCAGCTGTGATACATAAACCATAAAGTCAGAAATTATCAATTACCTGGTGTCTATACACAAAAACAAATATATCATACTTCACAAACAAATCATATTTACTGTCATGTTCTAAACCGATTACCAAGAATGTGAAAATATGTGCTGAACTTTTATCTTCAAATTTCTAGATACAGAACATTTATGTTTAACTAAAGAAGAATCATGTCTAGCATTTTTACATTAAAAATAAAATATTATAAATGGGGACTCGGGATATTTCATTAAGAATGGACACCTTAACATATACCGTATATGTAGCTGACTAGTTGGATACCACTATAATTATGATTTAATTTTATACGATATAATTGTGATGTCTGTAGCTGATATATTTGTGTTTTGATAGATATAGAAGTTGACCTGCTTAAAAAATTCAACACCTTGTATGTCAGCAATATTGTTATAATATTATTCATATAATTGTTTGTTTATATTTTGTTTGTTTATGCAACACATTGTTTATGTGCATGTATTGCAAATTCATAATGGCTTAACACGGGTAATTATATTTATGTTTAGTTAAGTTCTTTCATTTCATTCAACCGTCTTAATGTTCAGAAAACACTATCAGTAAGCACTAGTCTGTTTACAATGTATATATAACATACACTCAATTTCTAATGGTGGTTAAGTGAAATCAACACTCTAAATGCTAAACACACAAGTTTTCTTTTCATGGAGAACTTATCCAAATAGGACTCCAACATGATAGAAAGCCAGAGAAAGACATAATAATACACATCTATTTAACTATGGGGCCTCTGATTTAAAAACAAACACACTTTTGTTATGTACACAACCATTCTTTGTGTATATTATACACACGACACCGTTGCTTACCCAATACACAACTATTTTCTTTACATTTACTAATGGCTTTTAAATATCTTAAATACTCCATCTGTTTAAGTGTTTAACATGTACATTCCACTAAGGAGAGTACTCAAGTCATCTTGAATGCACGTGGCTCTTAAGTCAAAAACACAACATACCTCATTCATTGTAATGTTAATCAAGCACATTGTATTGATACAGCACTATTCATAACGTTAGACTACTGGTGCAAACACGTTGGCCTAGTTATTAGAAATATTTCTGTATTGTATTGTTTCTTCGTCATGAATCCCCAGAATTAATAAATTTCTTTAGTTATTACGTAAGCCTATTATCATTTATTCAGAAAAGCAATCAAATATGATTTCTCACGTGTTAATTTTATCCGGAATCCTGACAGATAATGTTATGTGTGTCGGCATGGATGACAAGTTGAGCACATGTCTACAATATGTAGCATTAAAAAACAATAAACACACATGCAATTGATGTATACTTGACTAAATATAAACCCCTACCGAAGTCCGTTGAATAGTTGCTTTGATTTCTCCAGCAGATGACAAAATTCATTCACCACTTTCTTCTCAGTTTCGTCCATGGCAGGTAAAGGGCTGCCATCCGCGATCGACATTTTGTTGTGGTAGCGGCGATCTCGAACCAAACTAACACTTTAAACGAGGAACACCTCCAACAAACTAACACTTAGGAGATCAGAGGCTACATGGAGAGGGCGTTTACGGTGATACTCGAATAACAATAATATCCTTCCTTCACATCAGTGATCGAAATTTATAAAAATTAACATTATTTGACAGTGTGAATTTTCTGGGTCGTCGAAACGTTTACGTATGCGTACTAAAGGCGGAAACGGATACGGAGTTCCGGACCAATCAATCTAAAATGGAATTGACGAATAAATATCCTTTAAAATGGGAAATGGAACAAGGTACGGTATATTTAAATATAAAAATTGTAGATACCTTATCATATCATTTATTCAAGAAGTGTCATTGAAATCGTTGTTTGTTTCTTTACGTCATTATGATGAAATATATCGAACTTCGACTAGCAAAACAGACTAATACCAGTTCAAATCTATGCTTTCAGTCAACCCTGAAAAACATTATCCATAAGTGGTCAATGGGCCTTAACGATCACCCGACTCTAGTAAAATCATAATTGTTTTTTATCTTGTAACCCAATATGTGACGGAATTTCTACTACAGATAGCAATATCAACTGATTTCCATATCCTTCTGGCAAACTCGCTTTATGCACTGGTATTGAATACAAAATTTAGACACTGTTTCACAATAGGAAAAGTGAAATTTCTCCAAGGCTTTGGAGTTAATTATAACAAATCTGATGTTGACCCTTAAACTTTTCGTTCAAAGTGACTTATGCATATTGATTATGATCGTTTAAAATACTATCATTAGGTCGCCAAGGCCAGGATGTCTTATGGTGCGTTATGTTAATATACCGAGAACAATCGTTATTCTGTTTTACAACGTCCGATATAAATAGAATCTATATGTTTAAACGTTCTGGGGCAATAAAATAAAAAGATAAAAAACAAATACAAAAACAAATACAAAAAAATAGAATCTTGACTGCATATTAATTTTCTTACCGTTAACAAACTACTCACGACAATTGTTCTAATTAGGTTGGGATTATTTCTAGCTGAAAATAATGATAATAATAAAAAATATATACTTACAGTGAAATTTTACTGTATAAGTGATGAGAAAAACTTATCCATTTCCCACTGGATAACTGAGGAGAGGACGACGGGATTAAAAGTTGTCCTCGGAAGATTATCGGCGAATTTTCTCCTTAATACCGGGCCTCACCCTTCATGCCCTTAGGTTTGTATAAAATATGTATATATATATTATGTTATTTACAGTTTTAGCATGTCAATGGTCATGCATGGAAAAAATATCGAATTCTATACAGGGTTTTAGAAGACAAAATCGCGGACGACACAAGGTGGGCGGAGACTAACTACAAAAGGTAATTAAGGTTTGCTCATGATCTGGTGACGTCAGAAAACAAACTCGGGATTTGTATTCTTGAATACTATTTTGACATTAAAGAGGAAAATCCAAAATATTTTTTTCAAAATATTGGATTCTACTTAAATGATTGACATTGATAATGTATAAGTAGTATTTTTAGGAATTCTATTATTTTTTCACACTACTTACTTACATACAAACAATATAGTCAACTTTAATAAAATTTCACATAAAGACAAAAGAAAGCTTGTTTCTGTGGCTTCAGAGATAGAAAATGATGTTTCAGATATTGAGATCGGAAGAGACAGAGAGGTAAACTCCCTGCTCGTTACTGACTCAGCTTGTTAAAAATACAGAATTCTTGTATCATGGTCATCATTGGACATCAGAAGGAGGAACAGTTTCACGCTGATATCACTAATTTTGTGATATCTTAGTTATCAAATATTAGTTATCATGTTGAAACTAGTTACATATTAGTTATCACGTTAAAACTAGTTATATATTAGTTACCACGTTGAAAACTAGTTACATATTAGTTGTCACGTTGAAAACTAGTTACATATTAGTTACCGCGTTGAAAACTAGTTACGTATTAGTTATCGCGTTGAAAACTAGTTATATATTATTTATCGCGTTGAAAACTAGTTATATATTAGTTATCGCGTTGAAAACTAGTTATATATAAGTTATCGCGTTGAAAACTAGTTATATATTAGTTATCGCGTTGAAAACTAGTTATATATAAGTTATCGCGTTGAAAACTACTTATATATTAGTTATCGCGTTGAAATCTAGTTATATATTAGTTATCGCGTTGAAAACTAGTTATATATTAGTTATCACGTTGAAAACTAGTTATATATTAGTTATCACGTTGAAAACTAGTTATACATTATCCGATAAAGAGTCATCAGTCATTGAAAACTAGTTATAATTGTATGGGATAACGTATACTTAGTTATCGCGTTGTATATATCACTATTGTAATATACATAGAACGCTTTTATCTGCGTTTGAAAATCAATTTTTATACATGATACGGTTATCGCGTTGAAAACTAGTTATACATTAGTTACACGTTGATTTTCTTTTTTTCTGAAACGATAGTTATACATTGTTATCACATTGAAAATGTTATACATTAGTTATCAACGTTGAAAACTCATATATTACATATTAGTTACCGCGTTGAAAACTAGTTATACATTAGTTATCACGTTGAAAACTAATTACATATTAGTTACCGCGTTGAAAACTAGTTATACATTAGTTATCACGTTGAAAACTAGTTATATATTAGTTATCGCGTTGAAAACTAGTTATACATTAGTTATCACGTTGAAAACTAGTTATACATTAGTTATCACGTTGAAAACTAGTTATATATTAGTTATCACGTTGAAAACTAGTTATATATAAGTTATCACGTTGAAAACTAGTGATACTGATCTCGACGCTTCCATCCGATAAAGAGTCATCAGTCATCCTCGGCTAATTCAAAGTCGTGTACTGTTCCTGATATAATTCATAATTGTCAGTGGGATAACGTCTCTTATTACACCAGCTCCTTGTTTTTCTGTGAACCATGTAATATTTTTGTATATATCACTATTGTAATATACCATAGAACGCTTTTCGTTGACTGCGTTTGTCAGAAATCAATTTTTGTGTCATGATATGGACAATGACGTTACGTCATCAATTGAAAATGACACAACAAAATGGCTGCCTTCGTTTGAATTTGTTCTCCACACTTTGACATTAATATTCATCAAAATTTTCTTTTTTTCTGAGTGAAGCGATTAAAGTTTCTATAATCTGTTCTCATTTCATATGAAATGTTATGAAATTCGCGTTGAAGTTTTGATTTTCCCTCGTCAAGTTTCGCAAAAATTTAAAAAAAAACTAAGACTCGCCTTAATTAAATCTCATATAAAATGAAAACCCATTTAAGATAATGATTAGGTAATACCACGATAATCATTAGGCGGTACCACGATAATGATAAGGTGTTACCACGGTAATGATTATGTGATACCATGATAATCATTAGGCGGTACCACGATAATGATAAGGTGTTACCACGGTAATGATTAGGTGATACCATGATAATCATTAGGCGGTACAACGATAATGATAAGGTGATACCACGGTAATGATTATGTGATACCACGATAAGGTGTGACCACGGTAATGATTAGGCGGTACAACGATAATGATAAAGTGTTACCACGGTAATGATTATGTGATACCATGATAATCATTAGACGGTACCACGATAATGATAACGTGTTACCACTATATCTTGATAAGGTAATACCACTTTGATAAAGTTTTACTACTTATGGTAATTGTGGTGATACCAGCTACATATTGTGGTGATACCAGCTATTTAGTGTGATGATACCAGCTACATATTGTGGTTATACCAGCTATTTAGTGTGATGATACCAGCTATATATTGTGGTGATACCAGCTACATATCGTGGTGATACCAGCTACATATTGTGGTGATACCAGCTATTTAGTGTGATGATACCAGCTATTTAGTGTTATACCAGCTATTTAGTGTGATGATACCAGCTACATATTGTGGTGATACCAGCTACATATTGTGGTAATACCAGCTACATATCGTGATGATACCAGCTACATATCGTGGAAATACCAGCTACATATCGTGGTGATACCAGCTATTTAGTGTGATTATACCAGCTACATATTGTGGTGATACCAGCTACATATTGTGGTGATACCAGCTACATATTGTGGTGATAACAGCTACATATTGTGGTGATACCAGCTACATATTGTGGTGATACCAGCTATTTAGTGTGATGATACCAGCTATATATTGTGGTAATACCAGCTACATATCGTGGTGATACCAGCTACATATCGTAGTAATACCAGCTACATATCGTGGTGATACCAGCTACATATCGTGGTGATACCAGCTATTTAGTGTGATTATACCAGCTACATATTGTGGTGATACCAGCTATTTAGTGTGATTATACCAGCTACATATTGTGGTTATACCAGCTATTTAGTGTGGTGATACCAGCTACATATTGTGGTGATACCAGCTACATATTGTGGTAATACCAGCTACATATCGTGGTGATACCAGCTATTTAGTGTGATTATACCAGCTACATATTGTGGTGATACCAGCTACATATTGTCGTGATACCAGCTATTTAGTGTGATTATACCAGCTAGATATCGTGGTGATACCAGCTATTTAGTGTGATGATACCAGCTACATATTGTGGTTATACCAGCTACATATTGTGGTGATACCAGCTACATATTGTGGTGATACCAGCTATTTAGTGTGATTATACCAGCTACATGTTGTGGTGATACCAGACATTTATCGTGGTGATACCAGCTATCTATTGTTTTAATTGTTATGGTCCCAGCTATTTGTTGTGGTGATATCGCCTATTTAATGTGGTGAAACGAATGATTAATATCATTATGGTGAATAGGTGATACCGATGTGAAGTGATGACGTCACTTAAAGGGAATGAAAAGTAAAAACTTCACCGTACCATTTTCACTTCAATTTCTTTCCATTTTCTTTTTTACAGCTCGT